CCACCAGTCCAGGTTGCTCCAAGCCCCATCCAACCTGCCCTTCAACACTGCCAGGGATGGGGCAGCCACAGCAACCCTGGGCAACCTGGGCCAGCACCTTACAACTCACATGGTGAAGAATTTCTTCCTTATGTCTAACCTAAATCTCCTCTCTTCCAGTTTTAATCCATTACCCCTTGTTCTATCACTGCCCTCTCTGGTGAAAAGCCCCTCCCCAGCTTTCCTGGAGCCCCTTCAGGCACTGGAAGGTGCTCTAAGCTCTTCCCTTCTCTTCTCCAGGCTGAACAGCCCCAAATCCCTCAGCCTGTCTTCATAGCAGAGCTTCTTCCTTCAGTGAAGACTGGTGAGAATTAGGAATTCCCTATAAACCAGTGCATTCAGTGAAGCTGTGCTGGGAGTGTGGTCCTTTTGCAGGGCTGTGATGTGTCCTCAGAAGAAGTCAAGGTTGAGGATTTCCCATGTGCCACCACCAGTTGCCACTACTCACCTCCCAAACCCAGCAAGGGAACCAAACATCTCCTCTGCCAGTGGCTCAAATTGCCCTCAGCTGCTGGGGTAACAAAAGCCAAGGCAATGGGCAAAGGTGCACTCAGCCTCTTGGGAATGGGACACTGGGTTTTGATGTTCCTCACTACAGGATTTGCCACAAGTTTGCATTTGCCTGTACACAAGACAATAAATCTTGCTCTGTTTGCAAGTCCCAAACTCTTCTCAGGTCCCATGTTACTGTTTCTTGGCTAAACTTCTCTCCCTCTTGCCCAGCCCTGTAGCTGCCTTGCTGTGCCATGGCACTGAAGCCCAGTAAAGTAACCCAGGCCTCCCTGTGTGCCATGGGCTCCACAGCATGGGACAACCTGAATCCTGATAGGGTGGAGTCCCATCCTGCTGCTCTCAGCCCTGCAATGCATTCAGAAGCTTTTGAGCATCCTCAGCATCACCCCATTATGTTCCCTGTGGGCAAACCCACATGTTGCACTCAGTGTAGGAGAAAGGCACCTGGGGGTCCTGGTGAGCAGGAGGATGACCATGACCAGCCATGTGCCCTTGTGGCCAAGAAGGCCAATGGCATCTGGGGTGGGTTAGAAAGGGGGTGGTTAGTAGGTCAAGGGAGGTTCTTCTGCCCCTCTGTTCTGCCTTGGTGAGGCCACATCTGGAATGTTGTGTCCAGTTCTGGGCCCCACAGTTCCAGAAGGACAGGGAACTGCTGGAAAGAGCCCAGGGCAGAGGCACAGAGATGCTGGAGGGAGGGGAACATCTCCCTGCTGAGGAAAGGCTGAGGGAGCTGGGGCTGTTGGGCTTGGAGAAAAGGAGACTGAGGGGTGACCTTGTCAATGTTTTCAAATACGTAAGGGGTGAGTGTAAGGGAGATGGAGTTAGGCTTTTCTCAGTGATGTCCAGTGATAGGACAAGGGGTAATGCGTGCAAACTAGAGCACAGGAAGTTCCATGTGAATCTCAGGAAGAACTTCTTTGCTGTGAGAGTGCCAGAGCCCTGGGCCAGGCTGCCCAGAGAGGCTGTGGAGTCTCCTTCTCTGGAGACATTCCAACCCCCCTGGCCACGTTCCTGTGTGATGTGCTCTGGGTGCCCCTGCTCTGGCAGGGGGGTTGGGCTGGGGGAGCTTTCCAGGACCCTTCCAACCACTAAGATTCTATGATTCTATGATTTCCACCCTGTCATTTCCAGGGCTGCTGGCAGGTCACCTGCAAGGGTCACTCAGGAGCCTTGGAGGCATCAAAAGCCACATGGCACCTTGAAGAGTTCCTGGGCAAAATCCAGGCTCTGCAACTGCCATTTTCACTGAAGTTCAAGCAACGTTTTCTAACCAACTCCATTCTGCCTTCAAATGCAATGAATTATGAAACGTGCTGTCACGTCTGCTCTGATTTGGAGACTCCACTGAAGAGCTGGATGCTCCAGCCCCAGAAGCAACTGTCATTGGGCATCTCTGGATCTGTGCACCTGGGCATCTGTGTTATTTACTGAGCTCAGTGAGGTCCTTGGTGGCAGAAGGTGACATAGAGGTGTGAAGTGCTCTTGTCATATCAGTTTATGCTCAGCCACACAACCACTCCAGCACACAGTGCAGATGCTCCTCTCCTGACACATCCTGTCCATCCCAGCAATCCTGCTCCCACAGCAGATGTCTCCTCAGCCTGCCCTGCACAGGGCTGAGCCTCCCTCCGTATCCTGACAGAAAACAGGGTTTGTAATGAAAAGTGACCCCAGACCAGCTCTGCTGGCTCATTATTTGAAGCCCATCAGTGAAACAAGCCAGGGCAGATGCAGCCACCCTGCCATCCTGCAGTGGGAATGCATTCCCAAGGGAATTTCTGATGAAAACCGTGTGTCTGCACTAGCTCTGCTCAGCCTGCTTCAGATTAAACACAAACCACTGCCAATTGTGTTACCTCATTATTAGCAGGCCCTGGCAGCAGCCTGGTGAGAGAAACAGACGTTCTGGCTCTGCTACCTGCCCTCACATCATCATTCAGCTCAGGTGCTGGGAGATGGGCAGCAGGATGACAGCCTGCCCCTGGCTCCCCTGGAATCACTGAATCCCAGACTCGTTTGGGTTGGAAAGGACCTTAAATCCCATCCAGTTCCAACCCCCTGCATGGGCAGGGACACCTCCCACCAGCCCAGGCTGCTCCAAGCCCCATCCAACCTGTCCTTCAACACTGCCAGGGATGGGGCAGCCACAGCTTCCCTGGGCAACCCAGGAGCTCACTGGGTTCAAGCCCTGCTACCAAACCATGCTCATGTGCAATGGGAGAGGAAGGAAGAAGCTCCACAGGACATATTTCAAGTTAAATCCCAGAGAAAAATGAAGACAATCCATCAGAGAAAAAGCAGGCATAAGCCACATAATATTAATTCAAGTCATCCAGCATTAATTCAATTTGCAGGCAAGGCAAATCTTTCCCATAATATTACCCCATTTACTCAGTGCCTCAGGAATTTCCCATTACTCTGTCTTCTTTTAGTGCACGGCCCATTTGACCTTCACGTTTGCCCAGACTTTGTGTTCAGCCCCCAAAGCCTCTGCTCCAAATCCTGCAGCAATGGGCAGCTGAGCTGTAGGAACAAGAACAACACCCAGCAGGAGCGGCTGTAGCTTTGGAGCTGTTGGAACTGTTGAGCTGGAAGAGCTGGAGGATCAAGTCCCACCTCTGCAGGAAACACATCCAGCTTTCTGAAGCCTCCACCAGGAATTCTACATTTTCCATCTGCAGCCCATTATTCTCCAGTTTAAGCCCACCTCTCTCTGATTACAGGTCCCCACACACTAGGAGTGCACAGGGACGAGTGCCAGAGGCTCAGGTCTGGGAGTCTGAGAGTCAGGGAATAGCTGGAGATGAATCCAAGCTGGAAGCCAAAGGCACAGAGCTCCTTTCCAAAAACAGCTCAAAGTTTCGGTAAAAGACCCCAGGAGCTGGCACCAGGCTGAGTCTGGGCTCTGCAAATCCTCCCCTGGTCTGCCAGGAAAGGCCAGCAGAAGGTAACAAAGCACAACCAATAATTTTTGGAGAAAATGCTTTTCAAAGTGATGGCTTTATTTATTTTCTTTTTTTCCTTTCCCTTCAGGCACGAGATCATTTCAACCACTGATCTTCTCCGCCCGCCGGGTTTCATGTTGCTTTGTGTCCCTGTCTCAGGGAGATGCCCAACACCCTGGAGCAGGCAGAGGAGCTTCTGCCCTGCTGCCCCTGGCCTGGTGGGTGTTGTTGGACTCTGCATCTCATGGGGACAACCGATTCAGGTAGCCCCAGGGAGGCAGGAGAGCTTCATCCCTGCTGCCACCACCTACCACGGGCTCTGCTCTCGCAGAGGCACAATCACAGAGTGGCCAAGGTTGGAAGGGACCTCTGGAGATCACCTAGTCCAACTCCCCTGCCAATCGGGATCACCTGCAGTAGATCCCACAGGAACGTGTCCAGGTGGGTTTTGAACATCTCCAGAGAAGGAGGCTCCACAACCTCTCTGGGCAGCCTGTCCCAGGGCTCTGTCACCCTCACAGTGAGGAAGTTTTTCCTCATGTTTAGCTTGAACCCCCATGCTCCAGCTTGTGCCCATTGCCTCTTGCCCTCTTGGCAGTCTCCCCAGGGATGCTGCTGTCCTCTCAGCTTGCCAAGCAACCCCCTGCAGACCAGGGCTGCACCCAGCACCCTGCTTCTTTCCAACTTCATTTCACACTCACAGTGTTCCCACCCTGCCAGGGCTGCCTGCAGAGGGGTGGGATCAGATCCCTTCCCTGCACACTTCAGGCACCAGGAATGTCTCCCTTCCTGCTCTGACCAAGGACATTCTAAAGACAGCCTGCTCACTGTGATCAGCTCTGATTGTAGCTTTGCAGCAGTTAAAACAATTCCCCCTGGCTCCAGCATCCTGCTGCTGCAGTTCTCCCTTCCCATTAATGGTGGGTTCTGTGTGGTTTATCACCTCATAGGAACCGTTTGACGAGCTCTCACAGCAGGACTTTGCTCAGAATTCTTCCACCCTTCTAAATTTCTCCTTCAAAACCCATCGACAGGTCCATTACAGCCCAGCCCAGCTCCCATCCACAGCAGCTTTTACTTGCAAGGAGCAGTGAGGCCAGGGGACCACGCAGCACTGCTTGGCTGGGCGCTCAGCTCAGCTCCCAGGGAGCCTCACTGGGCCAGGTGCTGCCCAGGAATGCAAAGAGAAAGGTTCCAACAGCCTTGGAAAAGACCATTTGCAACTTTGCAAGGACAGGTTGCAAGAACTGACCTGTCTCTGCACCAGCTGGTGAAGCAGAAGATGCTCCATCTACCTCACATGGGTCACCTGGGAGGCAGGTTTATCTATGGGGGGTTGGAACCTCACAGCTCTTTGCCCTTTCCTTGCTGTGGTGAAAGGTGAAGTTTCACAGCTTCCCCTCCATGCTGACTGCAGTTTATCTGAGCCAAACCATGGGCTGCAACTCACTGGGAAAGGCCCCCTCCACCAGCAACTGAGAAGAACCAACAGTGAGGACTCACCATCCATGTCAAGGCGCTGCATGATAATGGCCAGTTCCACCTCACTGGGCATGTACCCCAGGGAACGCATGGCCATGCCCAGCTCCTGCTTGGATATAAAGCCATTCCCATCCCTGTCCAGCACTCGGAAAGCTTCACGGATCTCTGCAATGGAGAAGGGAGAAGAGAGGAGTTGTTAGGGTGGAGACTGCACACGTGGGACACGGAAGCAGCACGTGTTGCCTTCCCTGATGTGAACGAGGCAGATCCGCTCATTTAAAGTCAGTAATCATGGGGTGTCCACACACACATGGATATGGTGTGTTTGGAGTCAGGCAGAGAGAGACAGAATCATTTTGGTTGGAGAAGACCCTTAAGATCACTAAGACAAATGGATAACCCAGCCCTGCCCAGGCCACCAGTGCCCCATGTCCCTCAGCACCACATCTCCAGGGCTTTGAAACCCCTCCAGGGATTTGAAACCCCTCCAGGGATTTGAAACCCCTCCTCCCCTGCCCTGGGCAGCCTGGGCCAGGCCCTGACAGCCCTTTGGGGAAGAAATTGTTCCCAACATCCAAGCTGAACCTCCCCTGGCACAGCTTGAGGCCATTCCCTCTTGTCCCATCCCTTGTTCCTGGGGAGCAGAGCCCGACCCCCCTGGCTCCAACCTCCTCTCAGCAGCTGCAGAGCCAGCAGGTCTCCCCTCACCTCCTTGTCTCCAGGCTGGACACCCCCAGCTCCCTCAGCTGCTCCTGCTCACACTTGTGCTCCAGCCCCTTCCCCAGCTCCCCTGCCCTTCCCTGGACACGCTCCAGCCCCTCAAGGCCCTTCTTGTCATTGGGGACCCAGGACTGACCCCAGGATTTGAGGTGCAGCCTCACCTCATGCATGGATGCTTCTGTATGCAGATGGATACACCACCACCCACACACTGCCCATTTCCAGTGCCAAATACCATTGCAAAATCATTCATTCATTACACACTGAACTTGGCTCCTTTCTGCAGCATCTGCCTTGGTGTGCTTTAGGTGACCCACCCTGATCTACAGCAAGGTCTCCCTGCACACAGCTGCACAGCAAACCTCAGGTCTCCAAGCCCCTCAGCCTGTGTGAAATGCAGATTTGCTTCATGTCACACAGGCAGATCAAGCACCAATTTTCTCCAAAAAACCCTCAGTGAACAGGAGCACCTGGGTGCTGACTCTGAAGGGTGTGGAGCTCTGCAGTCAGAGCCTGGTTGTGCATGTTCAGCCTTATCTGACACGTGTGGATGTGCCTCTTTTAAACCTTGGAAACAGAGAATCCCAGACTGGTTTGGGCCGGAAGGGACCTGCAGAGATCACCCAGTCCAACCCCCTGCCATGGGGGACACCTCCCACTAGACCAAGTTGCTCCAAGCCCTGAACATTTCCAGGGTCACAAGCCCCTCCCCAGCTTTCCTGGAGCCCCTTCAGGCACTGGAAGCTGCTCTAAGATCTCCCTGGAGCCTTCTCTTCTCCAGGCTGAACACCCCAACTCTCCCAGCCTGTCGTTACAGGAGAGGTAGGTGCTCCAGCCCTCAGATCACCCCCTGCTCCAGCTCATTGCATCATACCTAGGCAATTTCCACCTCCTCCTCACAGCATGTCTCTTGTTTAGAATTTCCACAGCAATAAACAGCCCCAGATCAATACAAATGCTGATAAAAAGGAATCACTTCCATCCTTCCTCCTCAGCCTGGCTCAGATCCAGGCCTCTTACTTTGTTTTGCTGTTTAGTTCTGGCACATCCCCCCAGCCCTCCCCAGCCCCCCTTCCTGAAGGGCCCCCCACCACAGGGCCCTGTGCAACCACCACCTCAACAGCTCAGAGCAGTCCCCACTCCTCACACACCTCTCAGCCTGAAGCTCCACCACCAAGTTCCCCAGACTGTTGCAAATATCAAAGAGAGGAATTTTAATTTCCTTCCCTATGAAGACAGGCTGAGGAAGTTGGGGTGTCCAGCCTGGAGAAGAGGAGGCTACGTGGTGACCTTATAGCAACTTTCCAACACCTGAAGGGGCCCTACAAGAAGCTGGGGTGGGGCTTTTGACACGGGGGTGTAGTGAGAGGACAAGGGGCAATGGTCTGAAGCTTAAAGAGGGGAGATTCAGGTTGGACATTAGAAAAAAGTTCCTTTCTGTGAGGGTGGTGAGATGCTGGAACAGGTTGCCCGGAGAAGCTGTGGCTGCCCCATCCCTGGAGGTCTTCAAGACCAGGTTGGATGGGGCTTGGAGAAACCTGAGCTAGCAGGAGGTGTCCCTGCCCATGCAGGGCAGTTGGAACTGGATGATCTTTAAGGTCCCTTCCAACCCAAACCAATCTATGGTTCTATGATTCTAACCTAGGAGCCTGTTTACTGGAAGGGGTTTGGTTGGAGGGGGGAGAGAAAGAGGAGCTGATTTCTTAGTTTTGGTTAAACAGTCTTTGTTGTGGAGAGGAAAGCAAAGGATGCTTTATCATTTCTCTTCTTGGGAATGAGGGCCTGCTGAAATGTTGCTCAGGGAAGGTTCATCTTCAGCATTTCACTGGAGAAGAGGGAGGAAAAACTCAGCAGGTTTTTTTGGGGGAAAACCCACCCTGCCAGTAATTAAAACACATTCCATTCTTTATCGGGAAACAGATTGGATGGAAGAAGTTTGGCCAGTCCTGGGCAGCTCAGGCATCCAACCTCAGACAAGAAGAGACTCTCAGTCCTGCCATGGCTGTCCCGTGTGTCCTCTGGGGTATGGGAGCCCCCACCACAGGGACCTGATGGCTGGGAGCACCATAACCCACCAGGGAAGGGTTTCAGTGATGACTTTGCCAACAGGTCGTTCAAAGCTTTACGATTCCAAGGCTGCTCCTATACCACCCCCAGCTCAAAGTCCAGCTCCTGCCTTGACTGTCCCTCTGCATTCCCAAAGGTTGCTCCAGTTCCCATGTGCTGTGGGGAACATCTTGGTGACAGGCCAGGACACCTCTGCCACCCTCTGCTTCACCTCCACCCCAGCTCCTGTTATCAGAACGAGACAAGATCCATTTGTAATTCAGCCAAAGATCGCAAACCAGGAAGATCCTCTTCGCCCACTGAATATTGGGCCAGATCTGTAATATCCACATTTTTGGGCTCAGGTAGGCATCAGCTAGGACTTCTTTAAACTTAAATGCTTCACCTTGTCTCCCTGCCAGCCCGAGCTGGTGTGAGTTCAGTGATGTGAGAAGCTGGGGAGGCGGCTCCAGGCGAGCCCGGCTGGAAGCACCAGCACAAAATGCAACGAGCCTTTGGAGCAGGAACAAATCCCATTAGGCACTGCCAGCTGTAGGGAAATCTATTTTCATACTCTGTGCTGAAAGCTCAAGTGCAGTAAATATTACATCTAAATCGATTAATTTTCAAACAAACTTTTGACAGCTGAAGACGAAAGAACTAAAAATAATGCAGGGAGCCAAGGAGGCCTTAGAGATGATAAAATCTGAGTCTACCTTCAGAGAAGTTTACATGTGGGTTAGGCTGATGCAGATGACATGAATTGATCAGCTCTGCACGGGGCTCTCTGTGCCAAGGCCTGCCCTGTGTCCTCTCCAGGCACAGGGTTCCAGCAACACCTTGTCAGTCCTGCAGCCTTGGAGCCTCAGTCCCAGGAGGAAACCCCACACATCTGGAATCTAGATCATTTCAGACACCTGAACTTTTGACCAAGCCTGAAAACACCCTTCACACATCAACTCCTGACCCCAAATGCAGCTTTTTTCCAACCCACTCATCACTCTATAAATACAACTTGTGCAGAGGTAGATTTGAGAGCTATTTATAGGTTGAACACGTTGTACAAGAAGTAGCTATGACCTCTGTCAGTGCCTCCTCTTTATCCTTCCATGCAACACCACCTCCTAATCAGCTTTTCTTTCTAGTGACTCCTTCTCATGGGTGCTGCCCTGCTCAGCACCCTGGGTGGGAGCCACAGGCCTGAGCACCCTCCCCAAGTGCAGCCCCCCCAGCTGGCACTGCCCAAGAACCAGTCCCAAATAGGGTTCCATGAACCTGTGGCACCCTGGCTGGTCCTCACTTTTATTTCCAGCTGTTATATTTCATTACCCACAGCTAAAAATACATCATCACTTTCCCCATATGCCTTTCCCCAAGAAGTCACCATGGCAACTGATGTTCTTGGCTCAGAACTGGGAGCCAGCGTGGTCCATGGAGTAAATCTCTCAGCAAAGGGAGAATCTTTGAGACCTGTTCCACTTCCACTGGAAGCTGCTCTGCATGGGGGTGCATCAGCCTGGTCAGGGAACCCAAAATTCTGGTTTGTCTTGAAAAAGAAGATTAACAGGGGGAGTGGGTGTCAAAGTGATGCTGCCCCAGCAGCTGCCTCTCCCCTTGCCTAGCCTGGGTGGCAGCAGAGCCTCTGCACCCACCCAAGCACCTGTGCTTGGATCCCACCTCCCCTGGGGTGTGAGGAAATGCTGGTATTTATTTCCCTTCCCACCATATAGCACTTTCTTTTAGTCCCAAATGGAGGCAGCAGACCCAGAATTCTGTTAGAGGGGAAAAGGGGAAAAAGGAAGAGAAAACAGGGAAAGATTTAGAGGTTGCCCATGTTGCTGGTGATGACAATGGGCTAAGCCTCAGAGGGGCCAGGCTGGGACCTGAGTGCTCTTCACTGGGCCTCAGTTTCTCCAGTTCCTGGGAACCATAAGGCTGCTCCTCTATACTACATAAGGTACCACAGAATACTGCAGAATACATAGAATCCTAGACTGGTTTGTGTTGGAAGGGACCTTAAAGACCATCCAGTCCCAACCCCCTGCACGGGCAGGGACACCTCCCACCAGCCCAGGCTGCTCCAAGCCCCATCCAACCTGCCCTTCAACACTGCCAGGGATGGGGCAGCCACAGCTTCCCTGGGCAACCTGGGCCAGGCTCTCACCACCCTCATAGGAAATAATTTCTTCCTAATGTCCAACCTAAATCTCCTCTCTTCCTGTTTTAATCTATTCCCCTTGTCCTCTTGTCCTTGTCAAAAAAGTCCTTGTGAAAAGCCCCTCCCCAGCTTTCCTGGAGCCCCTTCAGGCACTGGAAGCTGCTCTAAGGTCTCCCTGGAGCCTTCTCTTCTCCAGGCTGAACACCCCAACTCTCCCAGCCTGGCTCCAGAGCAGAGCTGC